ATATTTACCTAAAAACTATAGATTAGTGCTCATAGCTGTTGATTACAATTGTGCATACCACCTGAGACTATTGGGAAAATGTAATAGAAAATATGGAAAGGACTTAGCATGATATCTAGTACAAAGTGTGTATATAGAAAAGATATGTTCTTATTTCTATTATGTTTTTTCCCATTTCTTCTGGTATTCCTCATTGACCAATGACTTTTCTAATAAACATATTTTACTTAGAGATTAAAAAAAAATTGAAAGTAAAGAATGAGCCTGATGCTGGAATGTACAAGCCAAAAGATATACTTGAAGTTAGTGGAATTTCTTCTATTGATTTTTGCATTTGTATCCCTTTTGTTTAGCTCTGAGAACTTTACTTCTCAAGTATACCCTATCAACATAAAATCAAGTGGTCTACAGTAGACCAGTAATTACTTTTTAGGATAATTGTCTAAGAGTATGTCCACATGTAGTACTTAGAAAAATCAAATTTCTGTTTTTAAAAATAAATTGAAGTAAAATCTTATGTATACATTTGCCTCCCATTTGAAATATAGTTAGGTTTATTTATTTCTGTTTCTGTTTAATATTTGGAGATACATATTTTCTTTTTTATTGAATGTTTTTAAAATATGTAAAATATTTTCATGATTCCAAATTGTTCAGTATAAAGATTCAAAGTACTCTAATTTCTATTTTTTAGCTCTTATTTTTTACTATTTACCTTTGAAAATGTTAATATGTACACCTATTGTCTTACAAAAGTGGAAACATATTACATCTTTTATTATTTAGTATTACTAAATTTACTTTTGTATTTAGTATCATATCTTGGATATTATGCATAGCAATAAATACATTTTTCCCTATAGCTCATGCCCCTATTTTCACTTCCAGGAAGGACTTTGGAAGTAAAAATAAATAAAATATCTCTCTCTCTCTCTCTCTCTCCCTCTCTCTCTCTCTTTCCTAGAAAGGAAAATAAAACATATATAAAAATATATTCCAGGGATATATTTCACTGCTAGCATAAAACCCTAGATGCCTAGTTTCTAGTTTATAGCTTTTCTGCTATCCACAATACCTTTTTTTAAATTTTGCCATGTTATTCTGTTACCACCTAATCTTATTGTCCTCAACCCATTCTCAAGTATTTACAGATGGTCCAGCTTCTACTTTTGCAATGAAGAGCAACATGATTCCAGGTCAGGTCTTTTGACCTTTGCCTGCTGGTCTCCAGCTCTATTTTTCCAGATAGAGTTTACCTAGATCTATCCATGCCTTTCCTCTGAGCTTCTTTTTAATATACTCCAGCAAAACAGAATAGTTGGAATAAATGACTCTTTCTGCTGAGGATTCTCGTTTCTCACATTGCTTTGAAGAATAGATATTTTGCTTAAAATAAACCTAAGCAAGACTCGGTATTAAATTTCTAATTTTTTCTTTCCAAATGTGATAAAGCTTAAGTGTATACATGTTCCAAGAAATTCATGTGCAATGGCTTTGAATATCAAGTACACACATGTTCCCATAAAATCAACAGTGCTTTCCCATTGTCCTTCCCAGATGTATTTTTTCAATACAAATGGCAAAAAATTCCTCCATTTCTTTTTATTTAGCAGGTTATAGGTTATATGAGAGGAAAAGATGCAACCTGAACCAACATCCCTGATGCCTTTGAATGTGAACTCACATTTGTGCATTGGTTAGAATGCTTGAAAAAAATGTGTGTTAGAATAAAAGGCTCATTTTGAAGATATAAGATTGTCTCAAGAATTTGCGCGTTTGAAGTCAAAAGTAGCACATTAGAAAAACTCCAAGAACTTAGTCAATGCTTCTCTATAGTCTGAGAAAAAAAATGAGCTAATAGTAAATTGCTAAGTTGAGACTGATCTCTACATTTACATTAGCATCTTGGAAAATTTACATAGATAAGGAAATTTAAAAGAGAAATGAGTCCCAAGACTCGTTTAGCAAGTGAAACTAAAGAAAGTGAAATTTTAATATCAATAATTTTTTAAAAGAAATCTCAATTTGGAAAAAAATGTGTTCTGCTAAAACATTTTTAAATCAAAAATATATGTAATTGGGAAACTAAGGCCAGAACCATTTCAGGAAAAAGTAATTGATAATATTTTAATTAATTTTAATAAGCACAGTATAATCTTTTGCTTTCAAATCAAACAGCCATCCTATCTGCCAGCCAGAAGACAGTTCAGAGAATTTTAGGTCAGTGGTTAAACATTGATTGTCTTAAAATTTCTTAATCTATTTCAGTTTTCACTGTGATAATTCACCTTCCCTCTAGTTAACAAGATTCTGCACTGCTTTTTAGAAATCAAAGGACCTGATTTTTCTCGTTTTCCAAAGTTCTACTGATGGAACAGCAAATACTTTCTTACTGGAGACATAATCATCTATCTTGCAAAAAAAGTTTTTTTTGTCAACATAATTGGAAGTATTCATTTGTCAAGAAAAATGTTATTTTGTGAAATTACATTGAAGTGACTAAATATCCCTTTAAAATATTCAATTTTTTTCTATTATCAAATGTCTTACTGATTTAAACTTCTAATTGGTGTTCCACTGTTATATTTTGCAGTGTTCTTAGAGCAGTGACAGATATTTACTGTTGGTCTTCCATTAGAAGGTATTAGATGTACAAAATTTGCAGTTATTTGTAGTCCAGAGGTGAGGCAAATGAATTATGCCTTTCTCTTCTGGGTTACTAATTTAGGAATAACAGAAGTTGTTATGAAGCCCAAAGTGAAGCATGGGAAGCTAAATTATGAGGCAAAAAAAAATTCAGGAATTGAAATTGCATTTATTACATGTAGCTAGATAATAAAAAAAGAACAGAAAAAGAGATTAATATATATCTGCAGTTGAAGTTGAAATATGGTTAGGAAAGGAGAGAGGCTATCAGCAGTGAGTATACTGCTGAGCTTGCCCTTGGTATCAGATTTTTGTTTCTCCTCTATCAAGATGTGGCTCTATTCTGCTGTGAAGTTATTCTATACTGCTGTAGCTTCTCTGGCTGGGATTTGACTATGATTTCCTTTTAATATCACTGATCCAGTGCTTAGTGAAAATAATATTTTTATTCCAATAAGCTTATGTGTATTTCCAACATTCAGCTGAAAAGGTTGTTAAACAGCTAAAAATATAAATTTCCATTTGTAGATACAACAACCTAAAATGCCATTATATATTTTGCAATGATTTTATAGCTCTAGGCAATATAATTATCACTCACAATGTATAAGATTTAATAAGACAATTATAAATATAACATATGTTGCAAAATATTACAACAGCAAATAAGCCATTTTAGTCTTAGCCTCAGAAAGGAATTAACGTACCATTTCCCTAATTTATAATCAAAATACTAAATAAAATTAAGCTTAACAGTTGTAGCATATCTAAGGTTTTTATATTATAAATTTCATAAAGCTGAAGGCAACGTTGGCTTTTTACTTGGAAGAGATTAGAGACTAATGAATTTAAATACATATACATAGGTGTATAAAATTATTGCAAAATAAGATTTTATATAGTATTGTAGTTTTGTCAATATTTTTCTCTTCTGTAGAACTGTGCATGAAATTATAAATAAAATTACTAAGAAAATCTAAAACAAAAGAAAGAAAGGTAGAATCAGATGCAATATTCTATGAACTTTTTTTTTTAATTGGTGGATGTTAGTTTTACAGAGTAATTGGTCACTGTTGTTTTACACAGGCAAACTTGGGTGGATATCATGAAAGTAGGACCAATGTATGAGATTTCAAAATAAATAAAAGATGAGTCTTCTATTTCATCTCAAAAAGACAAATTCATTTACCATGTTACCTTTAATAAATGAAAATGACAAGTCACAAGACAGACATCGGAAAGATAGGGAACTATCTAAATTAAAGAATGTTTAGTTGAACTTTAATTAGGTAGAAAAGAAATAGATTGAACCTGCAGTTATGAGGGACTCGAGTAATAGCAGCTGTCACTTAGTAATAGTAATGACAAAAACAATGCTAAAATGTACTGACTATAATAGCAGGTGCTGTTCTGTACCCTTACCTTGTATTAACTCATTTCCTCTACATCTGCTAGTTGGCATGTCTCCGCCAAAACTCAGACTGAAATTTGCCACTGTTATAGTGTGAAGAGGTGGGGCTTTAAGAGGTAAATAGATCACGAGTGCTCTGTAGGCATGACTAGAGTCATGTTGTTATCATGGTACTGGTGAGACTGAGTAGTTATGAAATAAACCTGCCTCCTACTTCCTTTTTCACACATATGTACTGCCTTTCTGTCCTTCTGAAATGACATTATAAGGCCCTCAGTATGCTGACTCTTCAACCTTTGACCTCCCAGCCTCCAGAATGAAGAATTAAGTAAATCTCTATGCTTTGTATACATTGCTCAATTTGTGATACTCAGTTTTAGTGAAAGAAAACAGACTAAGACTGACTCAGTTACTTTTCTGGTTGAAGAGACAAAATACCTGAAACTCAAAGTTAAAGGAGGGAAAGTATTTTGGCTCACAGTTTCTACAGGCTTTAATCTATACTCAGCTGGCTCCTAAGGCAGGGTGGCATGGTAGAGGGGCATTGCAGAGCAGAAGACTGCAGCAGCAATAAGCCACGGGCAACGAGTGACCACATTACACCTCTTTCTGGCTCTTATATTTTATCAAGGCCCTTAGGGCCGATAACACTCTCATCCATAGTGTGAGTACTCTTAATCCTACCCAGAACTGTGCAAACCAAGCCGTGGACTAATTTACTAATCATACACACTTAATCCCAGCATCACACACTCCAGATCCAGCCACCTCTGGAAAGCCAAACCTATGACCACATTAGGCTTTAGGGGGGCATCTACACACAAATCATAGCAAAGGCATCTAACATCATGAAGCTCATTTTCAATTTATTTTTCTTTTTTCCCTTCCTTCAATTCTTTCCTTTTTTCCTTCCTTTCTTCCTTCTCTTCTTTCTGTCTTTCTTCCCACCTTCCTTCCTTCCTTTTCTTGTTTCTCACACTGAAAAAGAAAAAAAATATCTTTATGGTGTACAAGAGTGTTTTGAGATACATATATATTTTATTTATTTATTGGTACATTTTAGGTATACAGTACAGTTGCATTCATCATTGGGATCTCGGACCTTTACATGATGTATCATGGTTCTTCTTTTTTCCCAATTCCCCTCACCTCCCTTCACCCCCTCCACCCTTCTCTCTTTACAAAGACTTTGTTTTCATTTTTTTCCTTTTCTTTTCCTTTCTTACATTTCCCCTAACCCCCACTTCCTCTACGCCTTTAGAACTATATGTCCTAATACACAAAATCAATTATACATTTTGATCCTTATTTGCACTCTTAGTTTATCACACCAGGGAAACTATAGTATTTACACATGTGTATCTTATTAATTTCACTTAAGAATGTCTTTTTCGATGTGCATCCATTTAGCTATACATGTCTCTAGTTTTTCATTCTTTGTGGCTCCATGTTATTAAAAACAACAACAACAACAACAACCAAAAGCACATCTTCTTTTTCTGGTCTCCAGTTGGTCAGTTGGGCTGTTTCCCAGTTTTAGCTATTACAAACTGTGCAGCTGTAAACATGGGTGACCATGTATCACTGTAGTACCACTCTCTTAATTCTTTTGGAAAGATACCTAGCAGAGGAATGACAGGGTAAAATGGAGCTTCTAGTCCCAGCTCTTTGAGGTATCTCCATATTGATTTCCAAAGTGCTTGCACTGTCTGCACTCCCACCAACAGTGGAGAAGGGTTCCTTTCTCCCCACACCCCGCCAACATTTGTTATTGGTTGATTTCTTGATAGCAGCTCTTCTTATGGTGGTGAGGTGGAATTTCAGTGTTGTTTTCATCTGCATCTCTCAAATTATCAGTGATGTTGAATGTTTTATCATATGTCTATTTGCTGCTTTTACTTCATTGTTGGGGAAATATCTATTTATTTCAGATGCCCATTTTTGAATTGGGTTTATTTGGGAGGTCTGAATTTTTTGAGTTCTTTATATATCCTGGATAGTAGACTTTTATCTGAGGAAGAGATGACAATCATAAATATATATGCACCAAATATTCATGCCCTCAATATACAAAACAAATATTAAGGAACATGAAAAACCAAATAAGCATGATTACAATTGTAGTGAGGGACCTAAATACCCCACTTTCACAAATAAATCATCTACACAAAAAAAATCAACAAAGAAATACTAGAGCTGAACCAAGCTTTTGAACAAATGATCTTAATAGACATCTACAGAGGGTTGTACCCCACAAAATCAAAATATACATTATTTTTGGCTGGACATGGGTCATTTGCCAAAATAGACAAACAAACTAGCTCATAGTATGTTTAAGTAAATGAAAAGGAGTTAGAATTAACCCATGTATATTATCAGATCATAGTGCAATTAAACTGCAGATCAACATCAAAAGAATCCACAGAACTTCACAAACATATGGAAATTGAATAATATTCTCCTGAATAACCAATGGCTCACAGAGGAAATTAAAGAAGAAATTAGACAGGTTTTACAAGTAAATGATAATGCCAACACAACATACAGGCATCTATGGGAAGCAATGAAAGCAGTTTTATGAGGGAAATTTATAGCAGTGCATGCCCACACTAGAAAAACAAAGTGATCTCAAATAAACAACCTGATGTTGAATCTTAAGCTTCTAGAAAGAAGAGAAAGACAAATCCAAAGCTCATACAAGGGAGGAAATTATAAAGATCATTGCAGATCAATGCAATGGAGACTAAAATATATATATTTTTTTTTATATTTTATATTTTATATATATATAAACAATTTGAAGAGTTGACTTTTTGAAAGAATAAATAGAATCAATAAACCCTTACCAAACCTTTTCAAAAAAAGGAAAGTGAAGGTTTAAATCCATGAAATTAGAAACAAAAAAGTGAAGGCACAAAAGATCCAGGAGAAATCCAGAGGATAATCAATAACTAATCTGAGAACCTGTACTATAATGGAAAATACAGAAGAAATGGACAGATTTCTAGATACATATGAATTACAAAAGTTGAACAGAGAAGACAAAGCAATTATAAACATCCCAATTGCAGTTAGTGAAATTGAAAATGTAATTAAAATTTTAACAACAAAGGAAAGCCCAGGTACTGATGGCGTGACTGTTGAAATCTGCAAAACATTTAGAGAAGAACTATTGCCATTATTTTGAAACTTCTCAATGGAATTGAAAGGGAAGCAATACTTCCAAATTAATCCCTAGAAGCAAATGTTACTTTGATTCCAAAACCAGGGAAAGAATCAACTGAAAAAGAGAATTGCAGGCCAATCCCCCTAAAGAACATAGATTAAGTCCTTAATAAGACACTGGAAAATAGAATATAGAGGGCCAGCAATAAGATCATAAACCCTGACCAAGATGGATTTATCCCATGGATGAAAAGATGGTTCAACATACATAAAGCAATAAATGTAATATACTATCTTAACAGAGTCAAAGACAAAAAACATATGATCATCTCAATAAATGGAGGAAAATATTTAACAAAATTCAACACCCATTCATGATAAAAATCCAGCAGAAAATTGGAATAGATGGTCCTTATCTCACCTTGATAAAGGCTATCTATGAAAAACCAACAGCCAATATCATACTATGGTCAAAAGTTGAAAACCTTTACACTAAAATCAGTAACAAGATGTCCACTATCATCTCTCCTCTTCAATATAGTTTTGGAAATATTACCCACAACAATTAGACAAGAGAAAGAAATTAAAGCAACAAAAATAGGGAAGCAAGAAGTTAAACTGTCATTATTGCTGATGATATCATACTGTACTTAGAAGACCCCGAAAACTCCACCAAAAGACTTTTAGACTTAATTGACAGATTCAGTAAAGTAGCTGGATACAAGGTAAATAATGAAAACTCAATAGCCTTCTTGTACACAATAACAGACTCATTGAGAGAAAAATTAGGGAAACAATCCCTTTCAAAAAGCATCCAAAAAATGAAATATCTAGGAATCAATCTAACAAAGGAAACAACAGACTTCTACATTGAGAACTACAACATCTAAAAAAAGAGATCAAAGAGGATATAAGAAGATTAAAAGATATCCCTTGGTCCTGGGTAGCAAGAACTAACATAGTGAAAATGTCCATACTAGCAAAACTGGTATATAGATTGAATGCAATCCCTATTGAAATCCCAACAGTGTATTTCACTGAACTAGAGAAAATAACCCAAAGATTCATTTGGAACCAGAAGAGATCTAGAATAGCAAAAGCAACTCTAGGCAAAAAAGACATGGCAGTTGGGATCACAAATCCAAACTTGAAACTATATTATAAAGCCACTGTGATAAAAACAGCATGGTGCTGTCAAAGAAACAGACCTGAGGATCAGGGGAATAGATTAGTAGATGCAAAGACAACTCCAGACATACTCAGCTACCTCATCTTTGACAAAGGAGCCAATCATCTTCACTGGAGGAAACATAGCCTCTTTAATAAGTGGTGTTAGAAAAACTGGATTTCAACTTGCCAAAGATTAAAACTAGACCACTATCTTTCACCATATACTAAACTAGAATCCAAGTGGATTAAAGATCTAAATATTAAGCAGAAACACTAAACTTGTTGGAATATATGTTAGGCAGAATCCTTGAAGATATTGGCATAGGAAAAGACTTTATTAATAAATCCTCAGTAGCATGAGAAGTAGCACAAAGAATCAACGACTGGGATCTCATCTTTTAAAAAAGCTTCTGCACTGCAAGTGAAACCACCAACAGAGCTAAGAGAAAACCTACAATGTGGGAAAAATATTTTACCAGCCATTCCTCAGATAAAACTCTACTATCCAAGATATATATAAGAACTAAAAACAGTCAGACCTCCCAAATAAACCAATTCAAAAATGGGCATCTGATGCTAATAAAAAAAAATGGTGCCAGGTACCACAACAGCAACAGAACTTTGCTGTTTTCTGGATATAATTCTTTTCTTGTTTTTTTGTTTTGTTTTGTTTAATGGAATGTGCTGAATGTCTATAACTCTGTTCAGGTGACTGCAGAACCTGGAAAAGCTGTTGCTGCTATTGATGCATAACATACTGCTATTATTAGTCTTTTTATATAAATACAAATATATATATATATA